GGACTCATGAACAATGTTTATTTTTAGGAAACGTCTGATGAGCTTGTTGTTATTCCTCTCCCTCTGTTACTTATAACCTGCCTACATAACACATAGTATCTTCTGCGCGCGGCCACAAGTGACAGAGGACAACAAACACCGGCAGCTGCTGAACCATTCATCATAAACTTTGGCTTTAAAACTTCATACAACAAGGCCCAAAATAGGTTAGTAACCTGTGTTAGTAAACATGTTTAGCTCAGCATTGGCCATCTAACGTTAGCTTGCTTCTTGCTTTAGTTACGACCTTTGGGATGTTAACTCCGACTGTCGCTCGTTATGAAAAAATGAATGAGCATTTATTTACTTGCCATAGTTGTGGTGGTCGATTAACATAATCGTTTACGTCCCGCGTACCGTTACCGTTTTATTTAGTTAACGTTACATTGGTTTGAGAGTGTGGGGGATGTGTTGCCTTACACTAGTTTAAGCTGTCATTGATTGCAATGCACATTACATGGTTGTGCTCTGTGAAAAACAGGTTACTGCTTTATTGTTGATCATGCAACGTTAGAGTTTTATTTAGTTATAACGTTACACTGGTTTGAGAGTCTGGGGGGGTGTTGACTTACAGTAGTTTATAAACTGTCATTAGTTGTAGACTCATTATTGTGCATAAGGCTACATGGTTGGGCTCTGTGAAAAACAGGTTACAGGTTTATTGTTGATCATGTAACGTTACAGTTTTATTTCGTTAGCGTTACACTGGATTTGAGAGTCTGCGGGATGTGCTGTGTCAGGGTTTTGATTAATGCAAAGCAGGAGAGAGCCCAAATGCAAGACACTGGAAAGTTGACTGAAGGAGCACAGGTTTTAATCCAAACATAACAATTCAGGCTTACATGCAGCAGGCACAGCTGATCAGGCAACACAGAGACAGGCAGAACACTCATCACATGACAATGACTGGACGGAGACTGAACAGAAACAGCAAACATTTGACTAACAAGACAGCAGGGGAAAACAGAGAGACAGACAGGCAGAGGGATTCTGGAGTAACAGCCAGAACACAGGTGACTGAACACTAAACACAGACCATATCAAAATAAGAACAGAAGTAACAGATTAGAATAATATAAATAACAAACTAATCCAGAACATCAGCAGACAGATCACAAAATAATACAAATAACCTACAACCAACAGGGAAAACAGACAGAACAGAACACAGAGCAGACAAAGCCAAAATAATGCAAAGACAAAACTAGGAGTAAATACATAGACATTAACTAAGACACAGAACTACAATGCAGGGCTCAACCTAAGATAAAAGACAGACGGGTACTAAGTGAGCTAAACCGAACATGTAAATGAACAATGGAATAAACAAGGCTAAACAAGGAACAAAACCCCACAGAAAACATGGACCAACTGCTAAACAGAACGGGGTAGGGAACAGAGACAGGACCAACCAGGAAACAGAACAACACTAAACATGGAACAGATCAGAAATAAGGAAAATACCAAAACACAACAGATACAGAACTGACCAATAAACAAAACTCACAGAGAGCGAATCTAAGCATAGCAGACAGGCAGAATGTGACATGTTGGCTTAAAGTAGGCTAGTTAATAAGCTGTCATTAATTGCATTGCACATTACATGGTTGTGCTCTGTAAGTGAAAAACAGTTACAGTTACAGAATATCTTGTAACTATGCAGTGTTATAAGCAGCCTGGATTGAACACAGCAGGTGATAGAAACATTCATTATAACTATGAGTGACTTGAGACTTGACTTGGACTCTTGCTCAAAGACGTGTGAGCATTTCTGACAAGAGCTGTGCTCCTTAGCTGGTTAGCAGGACAGACAGAGAGATTCACTGCAGCTGCACACAGGCTAAGTGAGATCTACATCAGACTTGTAGAGGAGAGAACACATTTACCTGATTGATGTTCCCATACTTCACTCTCATTGAGTTTTTCATGATCAGAATCAGAAATACTTTATTGATTTATTGAAATTCTTTTGTCACAATTGCACTTATCAAAGGTAGATAGATAAAGAGTATATAAATATAATAGTATAAATATAAAAAATAAAGACAAATATAAAGGTGTCTGGGTATGTACAATATTTACATTATTAAGAATTATTATGGTGAACCAAAAAGGACTAGTGAATAAATAGCAGCAGAGAATATTGCACATTAATTATTAGACAGGTAATACTGGACAGAAAATGGCTAACCTCTGTGGCTCTTTGCTTACTTCTGTAGCCTGCAACAGCTGCTGCTGCGTGTGACGTCGTGTTATTCTTCTGCGCATGCGGGTCACTTTAACGCCTCGGACAGTTCACACTGAAGTCTGATATGGGCCACATTTAAACAGTAATGTGAACTGTCAAACAAAAAACATCGGATCTGGGAATTGAGCATTAAGGCCTGCAGTCTGAACGTAGCCTAAGACTGAGACATACTGTATCTTAGACTTCTTTAAGATCAGTTTTGATCAGATGACACAGATGAGTTATTTGCTATTGAGGTCACTATGAGGAAACTTAGACATATTTGGGAAGATTCATAAGATCCTAGGAGTATTAGCTGAGTTTTCTTTGAGCTTTTTCTCTGTTCTCATGATCCCATGTTCAGGAGACTTAGATTACACTTATTTAAGAGTAAGTTCAGTTCAGAGTCAGACATAAATGAGATTGTATATGGTTGTTTCTCCTGAGCTGAATTTGAGAAGTAGGAGAAAAAGCTCTAGTATTAAAAGTAGCTCATTTGTGTCTAGGAGAAATGAAGGAAACCACAGACAGAGCTGAAACAAAAAATCAGAGAACCAAAATCAAATAATGGTCTAATTTAGTTTTTTGCTAATTCCTTTTTCTTTTACTTTTTTTCCTATTGAAGAAAGACATCAAGAAAATCAAAACAGGCCACCCGGACATGAAAGTGATATATCAAAATAAAAGCCAAGCGTATATAATGGCCCTTCTAAAACATTATGCAAGCACTAACATTGGAAGAAAAATAAATAAATAAAGCTGGACTGCTGGAAACACATCGGCATCCTAGCTGATTACATGTAGTTTAATATTGTGCATTTATCCATGTACAGAGCAAGAGTTAATTCTTTGATTAATTAGCACATTGTCTGGTGCAATACAGTTCGTAAAATAGCTTGTGGTAAGTAATTATTGTGTGTGCAGAGTTGTTAATGTTAGCACTAGTATTTCATTTGGTTTCCACCATAATGCAATGTTGCTTAAGTGAATTCAGGGTGAAAGTTGATCAAGCTGATGTTTACCCTCTCTAAATTAAATTTACAGCTGTCAGTTACGCCCAGGGCTGGAAATTAACACCCGCCAAGCACCAAATGCGGGTAGATTTTCCGTTTGGCAGCTAAATGTTGGATGGCTACCCGCCACATTGGAGGGTAAATGTATTCGGCATGATATCAACATATAATATCTATTTGACGGTAACTAACAGCTGCCCGGTGTTCCTGTTTGTTGTGTTTCACACTTAAATTTGTCCCTGCTGTAACACACAGATTAGGACGGTTCATTGGTTGTTGTTTATGTTTATGTTACGTAGAAAAAGACCATTAAATGTCAATGCAACGCCGATCAAGGAGTATGATCCATAGACTGTATAAAAAAATGTTGATCCACAAAAGCTGTGATGCTGTGGGACCAGGACTTCCAGACTTCCTGGACCATGCAAAGAGGGTGATTGTACAAAGTGTCTGATGTGGAGGTTTAAGTTGAATGATAAAGTGTGATTAAGAGTGAGCAGCGATTAGATTTGTTGAATGATTAATAAGAGTCTTGTAAGTTTAGAAAACAATTTTCTATTATGTCTTAAGTACATTTAATAGCAATAATATAATTAACCTTCAAATTTCACTCTGGCCTCTTCTTTAAGTTTATATTCGACTCAATACCTTATTATCTCAAATAAAACGATTGAAACAAATATATATGTGACACAAAAAGGAAATTCATTATTTTGTCCGGTAAAAATATGTTTGGCCATTGGATTTTTTCATCTACCAGTCCCATTGGCAGGTGAACCAAAAAGTTAATTTCCACCCCTGGTTACTCCCTATGTCTGAAGGAAAAGTTGGAATGATTGTGCTAATTTTGACTTGGATATCATATGTCATAAACAAGCTACAATATAAATTTGGGGAACACAACTACATAAATCAAAAAGATAACATTGAGTTGAACCCACAATTAAATGCAAAGTAAAACATAACTTCTATAAGTTTACAGAGTAAATAGTGAGTGGCTGGAAGTGAGCATACTTGCACAATAGTTTGTAGGTGCTAGTACTTAAACTGCTTCATTCCAGATGCAAATTTCACGGTGCTTTGTTCAACCAAGGACAAAGGGTATGTGCTGGGTAATTAGCTTTTTATAAAAATGGACCTTGTATAACTGTAATTACCTTAATAAGCATAAAGGTTCACTTACTTGCTTTTCTAAGCTTTCAACCGCATTGTATGGTCCTGTTGAGCAACTGAGATTGCTCAGTTGTCATCAGGTGACCAAAGTGTGGAAATTTTGTCACACTTTGGGGGCGGCTGTCGTTAAGGAGGTAGAGCAGTTTGCCTGTTAATTGAAAGCTCAGTGGATCAATTCCCGCCTTCTCCAGGTTGCATGTTCAAGTGTCCTTGGGCAAGATACTGAACACCAAAGTATATGACCACGCCTCTGGTGGCTGTTCCACCAGTGTATGAATGTGTGTGAATGGTGAATGCGATGTAGTGTAACAGCGCTTTGAGTGGTCGGAAAGGCGCTATGCAAATACAGAGCATTTACATTTTTACATGATAACAGGTGTTAATATATGGGGGAGATGCTAATTTCTTTCTCTGTTCAAAGAGGGTCCTCCTCAATCTTTCCCTGGCCATCCACTGACTCCTGGTCGAAGACCTTTGACAGCTGCTCACTAGGTATAGGAATCTGCCGCCAGTATTAATGTGACCTTATGATTTGCTTTTCTGTCTAGGCCATGTTTGAACTTGTTTCCTCAGAAGCATCCTACTACAAGAGTTTGGAAATTTTAGAGACTCACTTCCTACGTAACCCACTTCTGATCAACACTCTCAGCCAATCCGACGTGCATTTTCTCTTCTCTAACATTGAGGAAGTCATGACAGCCAGTGAAAGGTAGGACAAGATCTTTGCTAACACAAATAATTTTATGATATGCTTCATATCCCTGGATAATGATCTCTTAATATTTCAGGTTCCTGATGGATCTTGAGCACCGAATTGAGAAGTCTATTTTGATTTCTGATGTGTGTGACATTGTCAGCTACCACGCTGTGGAACACTTCAGTGTCTTCATCAAATACGTCATCAACCAGGTGTACCAAGAGAAGAACTACAGACGCATTTTGTGAGTTCCTATTTTAGAAATACATCTGTTACATTGTGGACTAAGCCTTTCTCATGTACTTGTAGTTAGATTTGTTAACATGTTCAGCCACCTGGACAACGTAGTTGTTAATTGTTGTTAATTAAGTGTGGAGTAAAAAATGAGTCAGATAGCCATTTCTTGTTTAAGCAAATGGTGGTGTTTTATCAAATATATTGGGATTTTTTGATATTGGACAGTATTTTTGTCTTTTGAAAGCACTAAATAATACAAGGCCTGTTCAGAGAACGATATTGTTTGTGGCTTGCTTACTGATGATGAATACATGCTTGGAGAGGAAGTATGAGGAAAAAAATCCCTCTTACATTGCAGTGTATGTGAATGTTGTCAGCCCTAACAGGTTTGATCATGACAGATGCGATTTGCAGGGTGTGGTTAACTATGAATGTATGGGCTATGTCTCGCTTCATTAAACACACACCACTTGCAGAGGACAGGTTCCTCAGGTGGCAAACACTAAGGCTACCTTCAGACTGCAGGCCTTAATGCTCAATTCCCATTTTTTTGTTTGACAGTTCACATTACTGTTTAAATGTGGTCCATTTCAGACTCCAGTGTGAAGTGACCCGCATGCGCAGAAGAATAACACAACGTCACTCGTAGCATGCTGTTGCAGGCTAAAGAAGTAAACAAGGAGCAAAAGAGGTTAGCTCACGGGAGACTCACGTTTTTTATTGTCCTCTCACGAGTCACATTTCTCCAGAATTATGACAAGTGTTCAAACCTTTCTGTTCTTTTATTTACGGTTCTGGTGCTGTACAACGCAACTGCCCCACAACCAGGGGCGCCTTTATAGGGGGGAAAAGTTAGTATAATTCCAAGGGCCCCTCACTGACAGGGGCCCCAAAAAATAGGTAGAAACTAATATCAAATATCATCAGTAACGTGTTTAGTTGCAGTCAGTAGATGCGCCTGAAACACAGTGATAACAATGTTGCCTAGTAAACCAAAATCTGATTTTCAAAAAAGGAAAGAGAGGAAAGAGAGAGAGGAAAGACAAAGGAAAGGATGTCAATCTGTAACCCAGTTTTTCACCAAGAAAGGTGGGCAGCCTTTAGTCTGTGAGTGGTGTTAACCTGTTGGCTTAATGTCCACAGTGAAATAAGCTAGCTAGCTGCAGACTAGCGTTAGCCCACATTTCATCAACATTTAATCAGTGCAGGGAAACGTTTAGCAAGAAATTCATATTAAGTCATTTTCCCTGCTCCTTTTAGCAGACTAACAACAGATGATTCAGCAGCACCTCAGTCTCCCCATCACTGTAGCCTCCCTGTCCCAGTGAAGAAGATGAGCAACACTGTGTGAATGACAGGCCAGTTAGCATCATTCCAGGGAGGCTGTGGGGATTTCTCTGTCTCTCTTGCTTTTTTTATCGTAACAAAAAAGAAAATGAAATGTTTATTAATGACAGAAATTCAAACATAAATTATTTTCTCACATAATAATCATTATGAAATAAAATAATAACTGCACTAGATACTGGACAGTTGGAAACAGTGAGTAGCTTACCTCAGCCTGCGTGTAATTTACAGACAATATTAAAATAATCCAGTTTGATTTCATTTAGATTTAATTATGGCCATTAAATAACATCTATAGATAGTTCATTTTACTATAAAAATACATTGAGACTGTAAAAGATTGCCTTATGGACATTTTTTATGGTGGCTTTTAGTATTGCATCAAATAGTGAACTGCATACTATATACAGACTTGCATGTACAAATCAGTAAATATTGTGCTAGTACTAGTATTGAACTACAAGAAACAAGACAGTTGCAAATCTTTAGAGGGGCCCAATTAGATTTTTTGTCATGGGGTCCAAAGTTTCTGTCTGCACTGCTGCCCACAACTCCCTCACCCACAGTTTCTCTCTCTCCCCACTGTGTCCGCTCGGACAAGTAGCATGTACGTAACTCAGAAGAGAGCTCGCGGTCCGGTGGATTTCATGTTTAAGAAAGGGAATTTGTGGGCAGATGATAGCAAGGTAGAGAAGGAAGAGAGCCAAATGTTTAATAAAGGCTTTTGTAGAGCTTTTTCGTTCACCACGGCTCCATCTACAGCAGAACTGTGACAACAGCTGCTCTAAAGTGCTGTCAAAGTCGCATCAATTGCAACCTTAGTGTCTATGGAAGATTTAATTGGACTTTAATATTTGTAACCCACAGAAGACAATCCACAAATGTGTACTATGATTTACAAATATTTCACTATTCACAAATGTGTGTTTTTACATTTGTGTTGTGTCAAATCATATCCACAAAAATACAGAGTGATATGTACACACAAAACTGTTTTTTACACATTTGCGGATTACTTCCTGTCAATTTGTGGGTCACGTTACATTTGTAAATCATAGTAAACATTTGTGGATTGTCTTCTGTGGGTTACAAATATTAGTCCAATTAAATCTTCCATAAGTGTCCAGACTGAGGTTGCATTTAAAAAGATCCACATATGGAAGTGGCCCAATTCCAAACTGGAAAAAATCAGATTCCGTGTGACTTGGCTTGTTCAAATATTCATAAAAAGATCAGATCTGAGTCACATATGAGCAAAAAAAAACCCTGCAATCTGAATGTAGCCTAAATGGGACTTACACCAGCTACAGGAAAAACCTATCAGACCTACTGGTTGTGTGAAATGTATTCAGAAAATCAAAAGGCCTATCAGCAGTTTATGAACTAACATTTTGGAGATGCAAGAAAATCCATCTATTTGATGTTAGCTGAAAGTTGCATTTACCGAGATGTACGCTCTCTCTCTCTCACTCTCTCAGCATATATAGCCCGCTGCTTTTAGTGTGGGTTAAGAATAAAAGAAGCATTCACAAGATCAATCAGAAGACAATTGCAGACATTTGCATAGTAGCAGTGCATGTATTAAATAGGCCTAGATACTTCGTGACATTTCACTCACCCTATCTGAAAAGTAAGGCCATTCTCCTGTCTGTCATGGTGGTGAAGTGGTCAATAACCAAGTTATAGAATTCCTCGAGCAGAACCATGGCTCGGGGTGGGCGGCCATCTGCCTTGACCAGTTGGGGAGAGAGAGAGAGGGCAAGAGAGGAACAGAGAGAGAAGGGAGAGGGGGCAGAGAGAGATGGATGGAAGGCAGCCTACACAGTATACACACAGAGGTACAGACAGTAAAGGTGATGTTGCTATAGACTAAATGAAAGATGGTACAGATATTTATAGTAGTGTTAATGATAATAATCATAATGTTAATAATAGGACTAGTAACAATAATAACAATAATCTTTATTTGTAGAGCACTTTTCAAAAACAAGTTACAAAGTGCTTTAACAAGTGTAAAGACAATAATACCCAAAAGACAATAATACAAAAACAATACAAGATAAAAGCATGAAAACACTGAAAAGACTAAAATACACTTTTAAGATAAATATAAAATTAGTAAAATAGAATAAAATAAAAGGGATAAAATAAACTCAAATAAGATCGGGAAAGGCTCTCCTATAAAAGTATGTTTTAAGAAGGGACTTCACTGACTCAGCCGACCTGATTTCAAGGTACATGCTGGTGTGTATGGGACTAAAAGGTCAGAAATATAACAAGGCGAGAGGCCATGAAGAGCTTTAAAAGTGATCAATAGAATTTTAAAGTCAATTCTAAAACACACTGGGAGCCAGTGTAATGAAGCTAAAATAGGAGTAATGTGGTCATATTTCTTTGTTCTGGTTAAAAGCCTGGCAGCTGAGTTCTGGACAGTCTGGACATAATTGACATAATAGTCCGGAATAATTGTAGCAGAGGGTGTCGAGCAGGAACACGGGGGCAGCAGGTGACCCGCAGCCACAGATCCAGACTCCACAGCTCCAGAGCCAGAAACACCTGCAGGAAGTGACAGGAGGAGAGAGGAGAGGGACGAGAAAGCACAAGACTACCAGAAAGGGGAGAAGTTGTGTTAGTAACATGCAATAATGGGAAGAGGTTGCATACAGAGGGAGAGAAAGTAGAGGAGAGAGGAGCTCAGTGCATCATGGGAAATCCCCCGGCAGTCTAGGCCTATAGCAGCATAACTAAGGGATGGTTCAGGACTAGCCAAATAAACTGGATAAACCCATAAAGTTCTTAAAATAACTCCACCACAGAGAAAGCAACACAAAAATAAAATCGCGACAGTTTATTAAAACAACAGCCGACAAAAGCTGTAGATCAGCTGCAGGACTCATGTCTGCGGCTGCGCTAGAAGAACGGGAGGTTTAACGAGCTTTATTACCTGCTGTAATCAGCTGTCCCGCTTGTTTTGGAGAGGAGGAGACCGACTTCGGCTCTGTGTAAAAACCTCCTGACTGATGAAAACTTAAAACAACTTACGACCCAGTATTTAGCGTAAACACACCGCTGCAAGCTGGCTGCTATTTCCAATATATTTAATGCCAACATATGATCTCAGGCATACATCTGTGAGACTTGTGCGGCTATTTGACTGTTGATTGTGATTTATTGGTTTGCAAACAAAGGTGGAAAAGAGATGAGCAGTCGTAGAAAATCACCCTACATTCTCCAGTTAAAGCCAGTAGCCTCTACTCGCCCATGCAGAAATTCACTGCAATGCAAGCCCCACCCCCCCAAAGTACTGGTACTTTTGGGAAGTACTACCCCTCGAGCAGGGACTTTTTGGGGTGTAAAATGAAGACCCCAGAGCTACATTTAGACCCTGGTCCCTCTGGTGGAAAAACAGTGAGTTCCTCCAAAGGTTCCTAGTTCCGGGGTTTAGTTCCTTAGGTCGAAACGCAGCTTTAGAGGGCTGCGCCTATACTCATAGAATCTTAACATGTAACGTTCTATTTTGTATAGGCGCAGCCCTCTTAGACTATCGCTATTGGGTTAGAGGTGAAACAGGATGAGTCAACGCCTCACTGGGCCCATACAGAACCACCAAGCACAGGCCCACCTGCCTACGCCCAATCACCGACGATATGGAAGAGGCAA